CAGGACACTAGAAGCCCTCCCACTGTTGCCCCCCCCCAAGCACCAAGAATACAGAGTATCCCTTGCCCCAGACAAGAGTTCCTGTCTATACCTTGTGGCTAAGAGCCACTGATGGACTTCTGCTCTGTATAATAACATAAGAGAAGCCAGTGTTGGATCAGGCCAGTGGCCCATCCGGTCCAGCACTCTGTGTCACACAGTGGCCAGAAATACCAGGCACCATCAGGAGGTCCAGCAGTGGGGCCAGGACACCAGAAGCCCTCCCACTGTTGCCCCCCTCCAAGCACCACGAATACAGAGCATCCCTTGCCCCAGACAAGAGTTCCTGTCTATACCTTGTGGCTAATAGCCACTGGTGGACCTCTGCTCTGTATAATAACATAAGAGAAGCCAATGTTGGATCAGGCCAATGGCCCATCTAGTCCAGCAGTCTGTGTCACACAGTGGTCAAAAATACCAGGTGCCCTCAGGAGGTGCAGCAGTGGGGCCAGGACACTAGAAGCCCTCCCACTGTTGCCCCCCACAAGCACCAAGAAGACAGAGGATCCCTTGCCCCAGACCGAGAGTTCCTATCTATACCTTGTGGCTAGTAGCCACTGATGGACCTCTGCTCCATATGTTTCTCCATAAGAACATAAGAGAAGCCAATGTTGGATCAGGCCAAAGGCCCATCCAGTCCTACACTCTGTGTCACACAGGGGCCAAAAATACCAGGTGCCCTCAGGAGGTGCAGCAGTGGGGCCAGGACACTAGAAGCCCTCCCACTGTTGCCCCCCACCCCCAGCACCAACAATACAGAGCATCCCTTGCCCCAGACCGAGAGTCCCTATCTATACCTTGTGGCTCATAGCCACTGATGGACCTCTGCTCCAGATGTTTCTCCAATCCCCTCTTGAGGCCGTCCATGCTTGTAGCCGCCGCCACCTCCTGTGGCCGTGAATTCCACGTGTGAATCACTCTTTGGGTGAAGAAGTGCCTGGGGGATCTTTGCTAATCTGTCTGTCCACAGGTTCGGGTCTGTATTGCTTCGGTGGCCACAAAGACTGTAAAAAAATCCCCTATCGGCGTGGTCACCTGGCTGTGCTTTTCCGCTCGCCCCAGGCGAGTCACTGTTCGCAAGCCCGTGTTTTCACCTTGCTGGGGAACCCCGCTCGCTGCATGCGTCGTCCGTGCCTTTCCCCACCGCCTCCCTTTCTTATCCTGCTTATCACTTTATTTTTCACGGCGCTCTCTCCTCTTTCTCTCTCTCTCTCTCTCTCTCGTTCTTTCCTCCCAGGCGCAAGACGACTTGGTGTTGCTGGCTGCCATTCCTCTGGCTATGCTTGACTCTGCCCTGTGCTGGTGGATATCCTCCGCATCTGGCCGGCCACGGCAGGCCC